GCCCAATTCGCTTTGTGACTAAAGCATCTGTGCTCGTAGCTCAGTGAGCAATTTTCTTTTAACGTAATACAAGATAATAGTAAAACACAAACCGTCTTCATCTACATCAGCGATCATTTCTTTGAGCTCGTCTTCAGTTGGATTTTGTCCCAGGGATCTCATGACAGCCGCCAGTTCAGACGATGAAATTGATCCTCCGCCATCTTTGTCGAATAAGGAAAACGCCTCTCGGAGTTCTACGGAAAATAGCATTTGTGCGTTTGAGCCATGTTGGTATGTTCATTTAGGTTTTCCTTCAAATAAGTGAGTGTTAAGGGTGCCCTGACAATTGTCATGTTCTTTACTTCGTTGTCAGTGCTCAAAAGAAAACGTTTTAGCGTTTATAGAGAAATTCTATGGTGTAATCTGATCGTTCTAATGAGGATAAAGTTGAAAAGAACTGCTGTCAGTATCAACGACTACTGACTTGACAATCTGAACGGAAGTCATCATCCTTTTCAAGTGAGGAGTTGTTCGTCAGTCGGCAGTTGCAAGTCTGGTTCGTGAGATCTGATAGGTTAGTTTTTCCGTGATGTTATTGGCTGTGGGACTCGGGTAATGTGGGTCAGTTGTGACAAGTGAGTCTTTTTTCACGCGTACGATCAGAACATACAATCAACAATTACACCTGGGTTCAAAAAATACTGCGCAGTCAAAGTTATCACGATTGTAGAACTAGAGTATATGATGGACTTTAAAAAAATTAGTGCTCAAAAGCACCATAAACTTGGTTGAGAAGCATTAAGGCACAAAAATTCGGATCCAGATCCCGCGCTGGGCCATAACAACGAGGGGTGTAAACCCTCAGCGATTTTGCAGTAGTTAATTTAATTCAGTGACTGTCTCATCTAGAAATTCTTGCACCAGGGTATCGATAGACGTAGATATATATTTTCAAAAAATGGTAGCAGCTGAAAGACAAAAGTTTGAAATGGGGAGCTTTGAGCAAATAGCAAGTCCAGCGATTCGAATTCTGGTTCTGTAAGATACATTTTCGTTAGAAACTAGCTGTAGCCGTTCGTTTAACTTCCAATGATCTTTACTTTGTCATAAGGATAAGATGGCAGACATATTTAAATCATTGACAGACGGCATTTGTTAATCAATTCATCAGCGATTCATCACAGCCATTAGAAAAATATATCTTAGAAAAAACAATCGGACTTTTAGAAACGGCAGACTCAAACGTGAAGTACATGTTTGTCTCTGCCTCCCACCAAATTGAGTCATGAACTCTATGAACATTTCAAGTTTCTCTGTTTCTAAGTTTTTTTCCTCTTGTCTTTGTTGTAGTGCAAACAAATTGTTCGAAAGTTCAGTACAACTGGGCTTAATCTTCGGCTTCGAACATGACTAAGTGAATGACTCCATTAATCTTCGATGGAATAAAACCTTGATCGCAAATTGTTAATCAGAGCAACAAGCCTGTAAACCTTACCAGCAATTTGGGGTGGATTTGCTCCTTCATAGTTAGCCTTAGAGGACTGTTGACTCATTTTCGTCCCTCCCTCAGAATTCCTTGGATACGCGAAGTGTTATGGCATGCTTACCTTTCATCAAAAGCCTTAAATCAAAATAACTCAACACCCTCCAAATTTCGTTAAAAATTCAGTAGCTTCTTATGCTCAAGTGACATAAACCTGCGGTAAATAAATCACGTTGGATTGTTTGGAAGTTTTGTTGGTTCGCGGCGTGATAACTAGAACGTACGCCCATTTTATATTATGTGGGCAAGGTAATAACAAGGGGCTTTTCAATAAAAGTATTCAAGGCAAGCACGTCTTTTTAATGCAATATACGTCTAGAAGTGTCCTAATTTAATCGGAAAAAAGAAATAGTGAATCCTCGATGTGTTTCCTTGGTGTAAAACAACATGATTATTCAGGTGTTTGTTTGCCAGGAGCAGTCATTTACATCCTACGACTAATTCTCTTACATTCAGCATCAAAATGGTTGAACAGTTCAGGACTAAACTGGAACAATGAAATACAGAGAAACTAAGGTATAATTATAGTTTTACATACTGTTATGACAAAATTGCAAAGGTCATCGCATAGGTCATTCGCTTCAAAACAAAACGCAAATGTGGCGTAAAACCCGCACTTGTTACGGTTGATAACTGACATCTCACTTAATAAGAGGAACTCGGTAATTATTCATGATACCTTGCTGTTTATCGGCAGGACAACTGAAGTTACCGAATCTTGCCCATTCAGGCTGTGAAGCGAAGGCGTGTATAGGCGGGAACATGTCTTCTCCTTAGTAAATTGTCCATAAAGAGTCAGTGCACAGTAACTGGGAAAGATGGGTTGAAAGAGTTGATCGCAGTTTTTCCTGTTTTATCGTTTGACAAAGGTAAGGTTATGTCCCGTATTGAACGCCATGTGAATCTAAGGCTGCATGCCCGTGTTCAGGCTCTAGTAAATTTGCGCATATTTACTAATTTATTATTTGGAGTAATGTTGACTACTGGCTCCTATTCTAGTTCAAGGTGCTACGAAAAAGTTTGACTTTATAATTAAATGAATGTTTAGACCACAACGATCCCTGTTGGTCACTTTTCTTTTAATTCCCTCGTCAGTTTGCAGACAATTTAGCCTTAAGTGAGTCAAAATGTTTTCTATGGTATATAAAGTGTTGTGTAGTTTTGACAGAGACAACTAAAAGGGGAGGTAGAATCGCCCCCAATCCCAACAGCTTGTATTCCTTGTATGAAGACTAACGAAAAGAACGGATAAGAAGTAAGAGAACTCATTAATTGTTCTACATGTTTATTTTGATAAAGCCAATCTATTCGATGGCGCTAAGAAATTATTTTTTTTTTACCTGAAAACAAAATTTTATTATTTTGGTTCTTCGGCAAGAAATGAAATTTAGGATTACACTCGAGATTCCTTATTTTGTATTATTTGTTCCAGTGTATTCGGAAACTTTTGCTCTTACCCACATCAAACCTTTCGTGTGACTTTTGAAGGTAAAATAAAATAACATGAATGATGAATAGTAAAATCCGCAGGTAGTTTTGGGAAAAGCTATAGGTATAATGACGTTGTAAATTTTTTAACAAAATAATAACATCGCACCAAGATAGCATCAAGCCTCAAAACAATCTTGTTATATTTTCAGAATAAGAGAAACATTTTCGTCCCATATTTCAGGAGGACACTCACTAGCTTTAAACACATCCTTCGGTCATAGTTTTAAGCTAATCTATCTCTTGGAAACTTTTGTTGCAGTTTCCATGTACCACTAATCCAGACGAACGCATTGGTTGAATGTAAAAGTGGGTACAGAGAGTGGAACGGTAAAGATAATAAGACGAAACCTCGGTTTATTTTTGGCACGAATAAGCTCCCCTACGTTTCCACGACAAATTACATTATATCCCATGCCACCATGTATTGAATTACTACTATTGTGCGAAGGATCAGCGCCAAGAAATCATGCACAGTGAACGCTTTATCATATCAATCGCTTGTAATTTATTTTCGCACTGAACTAGATCCCGCGTGTTAATTCTTTTGTTTACAACATATCATGATTTACCAAGTTAATTTCTATTTCTATTTTAATTTTGAAACACAGCTTTAACCACCAGTGGTTAACTGTAAGGTCTTCTTGTTCCGTAGAAGATAGCGGGGTAAAACTGAGCCACAAATCGATTCTATTTTTAGAGTTTGTAAAGCTGGCGTTCTGAATAATTAAGATTGTGTCCACGGATCATGTGCTGTACGAGAGCACCTCACATGATAAAAGCTGGCGGCAGGTGTAGTATATATTGTTTCTATAAACATCAAACTCGAGATATTTTGCATACAATCCAGTTTCTACGCACTGAAGTACTTCGAGAATTTGCTATCTAAATACCTTGTTTTGTATTTGAGCGCATTCCCTATTAAAGAAATGCCGCCGAACATAACCACCTACTACTGTCATCTTTACCTCTTTTATCGCTTGAAAATAAATAAAGATCTCGTTTCTTCATGACAAATAGTAGAAAAGCTTTGCTGCATGGCTTTGACGGCAAATGGAAAGTTTATTCCATCACCTATTGAGCGCGCGTTACCGTGGTTCATTCTTAACTTCAGGTTGTTACGTGCTTACCAAAAACACGATTAGCATCACAAAGTTTAGTTTCCATTCGCAATACCGTTTCGTTTCATCCGTCCGAGACAAAGAACCACAGCTCCGACTATGACAACATTCATTGTCGATTAATATGCTAAGGAAAATGTTGCTGGTGACCAAAATCCTCAGAATCAACAACAAAACAGTGACCACAGCTACTTCTAGAACTTACCAGCAACTTGCTCCTCGGAGAGCCGTTTTTCCGGTTTCTGTGGACATAAAAATCAAACAAAAAGAACTTACGCACTAGTAGGACGGCTCCAAAACATAGATAAATTATTAGAACTCCCCCAGCTTTCGTCTGAAATAATTCTGTGGTTTTTACACGTCGTAAAACAAACAGGTTTTTCCCTGAAAGCCAGATAAAGAAATGATGAGTGTAGAGGTTACCTCTATCGATTTATTCGGCATAGCGTTCATTGGCGTAAGGAGTTTAACTCGACGAACGAACCATTCTAAAGGAATATTGTTTACTATTGTTTTTGCTAGCTCATGTTCTCGCTCAGTTGATAGGGGTCTAGGACTGACTAATGTTTCGAAAAGATAAATAATTTATAGTTTCCATTTGTGTTCATAACTTCGTAATATCAAATGAAAGCCATGCGTCATTAATTTAAATTAATACACGAACTCAGCCACGTTGACAGATAAACGAGTGGAGGGAAAAAACGCACAAAATTTTTAATAATCTGATCTGACGTACGATTTTTTCAAAGAATTATCGTGACGAGCCAACATCGATATTTCTACTTGCAACCTGTATTGAAAAACCTGGCTCATATCAAACTGGTTTTCAGTAAGTCAGTATAATTAAAAAGTAAGAGCTTAATGGCCAGCGCCGACAAAAACACCATGATATCGAATGAATTCAGAAGTGAACGAAAATTAACCAACAGGTGGGTTTTTAGAGAGGAATATTTAAATTTTATTACGTTCACCTTGAAAAAAAAAAAGATTATTTTAGTTCAAGGTATAAGTTTTTCCATTGCTGCATTTTGCTTGTAAGAGAAAGAATTCGATACAAGGATGAAGGGTTCAAGGTTTATTATGACAGGAAGTACTAATTCTCACTAATTGTATTATTATGTTATTACAAGTCATTACATCGAATCAAGATACAACCTGAAGAGAGCGAGGTCTGGAACTATTATGAGCCAGCAATAAATGATTACAACATGACTGATACATCACGTACCTAGTAAACTTTGTCTGAAAATGACGGCGAAGGAACTTAAAACTTTGGTCACTTTTCTGATGTTTCATCTCTGTTTGTCCCTTAATGATTCAATTCATGGAACTCCTAATATAATTATCTTTCTGACTGAAAGTCTCTCTATGAAAGATCTGGGTTTTTACTACGATAACTCCCAAGAAACTCCAAACATAGACAGCTTGATCGAGGAAGGAGTTGTGTTTTCGCGCTTTTACGCCCAGTCGTCAAGGATTGCCTCTCTTTCATCTCTGTTAACAGGATTGTTGCCACCTAGAACTGGAATCATCAAGAGTAAGTTTCTGAATTTCAAAGAAATTCCGTCTTTAGCTTCTTCAGGAGGCTTACAGCACGCAGAAATAACTCTAGCGGAAGATTTGAAAGCCAAGGGCTACACAACAAGTTTTGTGGGTTTATGGGGATTAGGAATTGGTAGAAATGCTGAATATTTACCTCTCAATCACGGATTCGACTCCTGGTACGGCGTGGCGTCTGCAAACAAAGAACCTTGCATGGAAAGTTACAAGACAACATCTGATTCACTGTACACATGGCAGTCTGTCTGTGCGTTTTTCAGTCCTTTACTGTACATTCTTCCATTTGTTAGTTTTGTCGGTTGGTACAAAGGCCTTGCTAACATAGTCACTGTTATCATAGTTATTATCGCTTTTATCATATACAGCAGTATTCTTCATGATGTTATACACTTCACAATGGATTTTATCCAAGTTAAAAGCTGTGTTCTGTATAGAAACAGCAACATCATAGAACAGCCATACACTGTCGAAAACTTGACCTTACGGTTTACAAGGAATGCTGTGCAATTTTTGGAGTCTTCATCAATTTCTTCCAAACCTTTTCTTCTATTTTTCAGTTTCATGAACCTTAATCAACCAGAATTTGCTTCAAGGCTATTTTCTAACTCATCACAAAGTACTTATTCTGATGCTCTTAAGGAGCTTGACTGGAGTGTTGGAAGGATATTGAGAGTGTTAAAGAAGCGGGATCTAGAAAATAATACATTAGTTCTATTTTTATCAGCCACTGGTCATCATGTTCATAAAGCTTCTGAAAGTTGTAGTGTGGTTGAAAATGGTGAAAGAGAAGCCTCATGTCTGCAAGGTGAGACTGATCATTCCTTTATTATAACACCATTTTATTACAGAAACTATTTGCTCTGATTTTATGAGTAGATAGCTAATTGTATGAATGGGTAACATGAAGTGAATCCTGTATTTTGATTGACTCCTGGACTCGTTGCCTCTATTAATCCTTTGAAAGAAAAAGGTGTTCATGGTTCCTGTACATACTTCACAGCTTTAGTGAGGATATTTTTTTTAAGAGGAAACAATTCTCCAGCAATAGCATAATAACAGAGAAAACCCCACTAACTAATTTACCGAAGATACCATGCACTGCATCTTAATGGTTTGGAAAACACTGTGACAACACATTTTGATATAGAAATACCAATAGCAAAAGCACAAGATAATATTTTAGATACTGGGAATAGATATTATTCAATTGTAGTTTCTTATGAGTGTACTGAGTTCTAGGTTGACTTCACATCCAAAATTTTTTTTCTCGAGACTTGCTATTTTCGTTGTGAAATTTTCCATAATCAAGGGGTTTTTTTTTTCTTATTTTGCTTTTTTTCATGCAAGACTATTGTGTACCTGTTATCAGTGACTGTTTTTATGTTGAGGAAGAAAAGAAATGATTACTGGTATATTCTCATTAAGGTGGCAGTGTAAATGGAATTTGGGAACAAACCATTCGTGTTCCAGCAGTGATGAGATGGAAAGGAAAACTTAAAGAAAAACAAATAATCAAGACTCCTGTGACAATAATGGATGTTGTTCCAACAGTGCTGGAGTTGCTCAATGAAAGTACTGAAGCTGTGTATTTAGATGGCAAAAGTTTGTTACCAGTCTTACTTAACTCATCAGCAGAATTTCAGCATAAGTACATTTTCCATTACCTGGATGTCACCAAGCCAGCTGCAATAACATCAGGATCTTATAAAGTTTTGTATACAGGAGTTAAAGGTAATTATGGAGTCTGAATCATCCCACATTAATTAATCTGTGCTTACTTGCTATCCTCCTTTATCTAACTTGTAGTTTAAGAGTCATTTAGCAGTTTCTATTCTGACCAGTATTTCCCTCTACATGTCCTCTTAATGACTTATGAAGGTATGCCCTTTCCTCATGGGTCTGCATTTTTGTTGACTGCATTTTATGCTGTTTGGTTGCATGTAATAAGTTTACCTGCTTAGAGATTTTCTATTCTGTTGTCTCCCCTGTGGATGAAGTCTTGTGTTTCTTAACCTTACCTATGTAGTGGTGTGGGTTGATGAACTTTTTATGGTTCCAAATGGAAAGATGTTGTATTTCATTGGCATGGTCTGAAGCTATTATTTTTAGTGTTTTCAAACTGAATGTCTCTGTCATCAAAGAATGATAAAACAAGAAAGAGGCATTCAACTTGGCAAACCTTAAACTTAATCTGGTTCCAAACGAAAAGATGTTGAATTTCATTGGCATGGTCTGCAACTATGATAAAACGTGAAAGAGGTGAACAACTTGGCAAACCTTAAAACTCACAAGTGCAGCAGTGTAAAGGTTGGGATTTACAATTAAAGTAAGAGAGACAAATGATTGAATGCTCACTTGTCTTCCCCTTTCTTTCTTCCACCTAGATAGCAGAAACTTACAGTTTCATGAACCTCCACTACTGTTCAATGTTGAGGTTGACCCAGAGGAGACTTCACCTTTACCAAATGTTGAACACAGAGAACTGTTGGCAAACTTTTCAGATGCTTTGGCTGAGCACATGAAAACAAGAAAAAACAAATGGCATTCACAACTGGACAGCAGAATCATTCCTTTCTTGTTTCCTTGTGCAAATTTTCCACGCTGTTTCCAAGCTTCAGATGAAAACAATGACTTCTCAGAGTTATTTAATTAACTTATTTTTTCATAACTGTTGGTGAAAGGTTAGTCTTTTACTGACTTGCACCAAGTTTTATCTACTTTGAATATTAATGGAGGAAGCCCACGAGCAGTGTGCATTGAGAATCATGAGGAGGGGAAACAAAAGTATGACCAGTTACTCCTCTTCCTTCCCATTGCCCCCTTTGTAATGGTAATAATAGGTTCTTGCAACCCTGCAGTCAGGTATTGGTAAGGGGTAACTAGGAAGGGGTGAGGGTAAATTATATACTTGACAAGTAGCCTTCAGCCGTTCTCAATGTTGTCTAACATTCCAGTTACACATTACTGCTGTGGAAGCTTACCAGACCTCTACTTCTGATGGTCAGCATGTCAACTATTATACCTCTGTGCCTTTCAGAATATATGAATGAAAAAAACTTCTGACTCTCAGTATGTTTTGAAGGAGCCCTAAAACTTCAACTAACAAACTGTTCGAAAATTTTACTTATTGCAAGCATTACACTTTGAATTGAACAAAGACATCACTAATAAAGTAGTTCTTTTCAACAAACAAGACTATTATTTGCATGTGATTAAGTATCACCAAAAGGAAGTGATGTAACAAAGTACATTGTAACAGAAATTGAACCTCATTACTTAATAGTTGCTAAATTATCAATATATGCTTAACTCTTTGACTGGCAATAAATCAAAAGTCCCCATTCTTGACTTTAATTTCATAATTTGATAACAATTATTAATAAAGAAAATAAGAATGAATCATTCATATGCTGCATCATTATGAGACAGTTTACAATTTAATATTCTTTTATACTGGTGTCATGGAAAGAGCTCTTAAAAATATCTGCTCACTATAAATATTTTTGATAATTGATTTAATTATTTATCCTCATTTTCAGTAAATAAGGTTACCCGAAAATTAGTAAAATGCAACTTCAGTAACTCTTTAACTCCCATGATCCGATTATTTATTCTCCCTTCTAGCTGCAACTCGATTACTTGTGAAAGAGTTCTGAGAATTTGGTGTTAGATTAAGACAACAACTTCTACCTCAACGATGTATGGATATTATAGGAAAAAGTACATGCCTGTTATTTCTAGTATGTACCACACAGGTGAAGAATGCTTTTTGTGCACTTATGGGCTTGTTCAGAAGTGATTAGCCAGCAGTACTCAACTCCATGCAGCTAAAGAGATAAAATTGTTCTTCAAAAATTTCCATTTATTGGTATATTGACAGGAATAAACTAATTTTTTGGTTTCTGTGTGGTATATACTAAAACAATTAATCACCTCAGTGTCGGTTAAAGTGGTGGACATTTACCTTGCCACGAAGCAGCTAAGTAAATGTTCACCACTATTCACTTCCACTTCTCTGAGTAGTAGTTAATTGTTTATTCTGTTTTATTATACCCCTTAGAGTTATGAGTCTGAATCATTTTTGTAGCACTTTGAAATTCAGGCGAATTTTTCTGGAAGGCAAGTACATCTAGATTGAACTACTAACTACTTAAGATTTCAACTGGTCTTACAAAATTTTGACATGCCATAGCATTTGTAGGTAAAATACCATTCTGGAAAAATGAAATATGATCTTTACAGTTCTTGCATTGACACAATTCCAGCAACATGTTCAACAATTAATGGTCACATGACAAACTGTTTCAAAAGCCTTTTTTCGTTTTGTATTTGAGGACAAAATCAATGTTCATCTCACTCAAATGTGGCTCTACAGTACATCTTTCACATCCTTACTTGATCCATACTCCAACTGTCCAGAAGACTTTGCAAAAGCCTCCTCATTATTTAAGGAGCCATCCACATCTGGAGAAGAAGACATCACTACATAAGGATTGCTTTGTCTCTCCAAAACATACAACCATCTGTCAAATAAAAATAACAAAATAGAGAATTAAATCATAAATTAAATATAATTATTGTTCACCTATTTTAACTGTGGCACAGAAACATTTTAGTCAACTTAATGAAGATCTTTTCCAACTTAGAAGAATTAATAATTTTGAGTACTTTTCACAGACAGGAATCAATCACAATTGAACTTAAAATCATCTCAGAAGTTAAAAGGTGTTACAAAAATAATTTTTGAGCCACGAAAAACAACTGAGTGTCTGAACAAAGCTACAATCTTGAACAAAAACAAAGTGCATCAATTAGTTTCAATGTTTCAAAATCAATCATTTGCAGAGGAAAAATGGCAGATGTCTGTTAAAACAGCAAAGTTGTGTACATTTGATACAGTGACACTTAATGACTTACATAAGCAAGAGTATGGGAATAACAGTCATTCCAGACATCAAAAAATAACAAAATCCTGGTAGCCAGTCCACTGTGGCACTGTAAATACTGTTAAAAATTAATGATGCAAGGAGTGTCTCCAACACTTCAAGAGATGCAACGAGAGCAAATGTTGTACCTAAATCAAAGAAAAACAACAATTTACAATCAGGGGTTTGATAAATTATGAAATAACCATTAAAGTAGAGACAGTCAAGAAATTTGTTGGGTGTTCAAGTATTCAACCTAAAGTTTTTCATGTGGTCTGGTATTATGGGTGATGTTAACCCTCACAGGTACTGTAGTTGATAACAATGATGAAGTTTAGAAATCATGAGTGGAGGTAATCACAAACAGACAATTTTCAGGACACTTGCACCACTAAAAGTAGTCAGAGCTTCAATACAACCACATACAACACAACAAAGAATTTTATTTCATTTTTCCTTCTTCCCCAGTCCTTGTTACAACTTATACTCATTGTACTACAATATGCTAGCAGTACTGCTGGTGAAACTGAGTTTATGAACTTAAAGAAAATAACAGTTTATCGAGAATACCTATGTTATAAGCATAGTAGATTCAAATAACCATGGACTAGTTCTTACCTTGCTCTGAAGAGTCAACTTGTTTTGATATCATTGACCTCATGCATGGTGGTGTGACGCCAGCCCCAATGGCAATCAATCCACCTACAAGGAAATCCAAATAAACCTTCACACCCTAACATCAGTCTGTATACTCTCTGTTATATCCTCTGAACATTTCTTATGGTGCTTTAAAAGATAATAAGCCAATAATAAAGAGCTTCTTTACTTTGTGAGCATTTCTTTTATTCTCATGACCTTAATGTTTGATTCAGGGGTGATACTATTGGGAGTAATTAGATTTTTATCACTCTCAAGGGTTAAAATGTTAATACATCATTTACTTCAAGGAGTTTGACCATAACACACTAAGTTCAAAAAGGTTTTACTAACCAACAAACATCATCCATCTGCTGGAGGCAAATCCAAGGAATACATATTGTCCAATGGATATTAGAGAACCAACAATAGCAATGGTAAGATCTGACCATTTGAGAATCTTTGTCATCAGTGGTATCCCTAACATAACACCAAGACCTTTGATAAACAAAACCTCAGCAAAGAAGTAACCAACCAGTTCAGAAGTGAAGTTTCTTGGACTGTGCTTGCTGTACAGGACTGAGATATCATTGAAACCACCAAAATCTGAAAGAAGGAGCTGAAGTTAGGGAAATTTTATACAATGTGTAAGCTAACATTAACAGGAGGAGATGCCAGGTGATTAAAAGGAGCTTATTGTAAAAATTTATGTCTGTTTTCAAGGATAAATGGCATCCTTGTTAATGTATATTTATTTTAATGTTTGTTTCCCTCCCACCCCAATGAGCTTTGCTATTTTGTGGGTAGGGATTGTTAGATATCTATTTTAATTGCTAAAATATATAAATTTTGTTTTTGTTTGTTTGTTTATCCGGTGACCTTGTTCTTTTGGTTTCCATGACTTGAGCCAACAGCTCTCCCTTTTAAGGACACAAAGGAACCACAGCTTATCCAGAGGTTTTAAATCTTACCATGATTAAACTGAGAGGCTAGACTACCCATAAATGGAGAAATGAAATACATTCTGAGAGGAACGAACATGATGGATTCATGACCATGCGCAAACCCAGGACCATAATTTTGATATACAGTTCAGTGCTCTAAGCATTCCAGTTTCATACCCATTTAGCTAACAAATCATGAAAAATAAAAAAAAAACCTCAGCAACTCACTTATTAGTACAAAAACCAATATTCCAAACATGATAACCAGCAAATTTAGTCTTCGGTGTTGAGGTCGCTCCTTAGTTAAGACATGGAATGATGTCTTGATGTGATTGTGTATCGCTACCAAAGCCCAGTTTTCTTGCTGATTTGAATCAGGAAAGTAAGACTCAGGAAGAATAAGACCGACGTATGCTATTATCAGAACATTCAGGCCTAAGCACAGACCAAAGGCCGCCATGTAGCCACTATGATATACAAGTACTCCACCAATAAGGTTACCAACAGTACCACCCAAGAATATCATGGATTCCAACAGGGCTACTCTCGTCGTACGCTGGGATTCATCAGTTATATCAGATATGTACGAGAAGACACCGAGAAGTGTTGTGGCGAATCCGCCGAAGAAACCTGAGATGCATACCCCAATTAGTAGGTAGTCGACATTCAGTGAGAAAAAACCCACATTCAGCATATAGTTGATGTAGAGCAGAACACTCCCAACAGATGGTAGAATGAGCACAGTCTTACGACCGACTTTATCTGACCAGGAACCGAGGATCAGCGAAGCTGCTATGGAAGGAAGCATCGAAGACACAGACTGATACAAAATCCATTTGGAGGTCTTCTTGTGTACAAAATTTTCCTGTGAGGTGGTGAGATTCTTGCAAGATTCGGCGTCATATTCTGCATTGCAGATCTTCTGGAAAGCGAGCTGCTGCACAAGGGGGAACGACATAAAAACGCAGAGCATGTAAAGAAAAAGCACTGGCTCCACAGTGATATTACGGAAAATTGCGATCGCCATATTGTAGGGTACGAACAATTTTGCTTACATATAGTATAATCTGCTCGTTACGATTGCTTATAAAAAACCTCGCAGGCTCAAACTGTTTTCTCAAAATGGCTGACAATTACAAACAAGTGAAATCTGGGCGTTTAAAACTTAAAGGATTAGACGATAGCTTACGGAAAAAGAAGCACAAGAAGAAGAAGAGGGAAAGAGAGGAAGAGGAGCCAACAGATGTTGATGCGCTCCGTCATGGAGGTTGGAGAAAAGTGGAAAACTTTCGTGAAGTTAGCGGTAACATTGCACTGCAAACTTTCCAGACAACCTATATCGAGGCACTTAACACTGGATTGTTCACAGTTGGTGAACTGAGAGATGATGGTGAAAATTCGCCGGCACCTGTTGAAGTGTTTACAGCTGTTCCACTTTCCGAGAAAAATATTGCCTTAAAATCGGGTTATGGTAAGAAATGATTTAACCTTTTTAATTTTGTAAGCTTACCAGTTACGACATTACAGCGTAAGGGTACTTGGCTCATAGGTACTTGTTCTTGTTTAAATGATACGATTTCAGCTCACAATGCCTTCAGCCAACTTTTACTTTTGGGCTAAACTTCAGAATACCCCGCAACTCATTTCCGCCTCACTTACATGTGTCGGGAGGCTTTGAAGATTGAGGCATAACACAATAGACGCTATTCTTATTCAATGACATGTAAATGAGTTGCGGGGTATTCTGAAGTTGCTCCTACTTTTGTTAAGCTCTACTTGAGACCTTCAACTGTTTATTTTTCTATCTTTTTAAACCAATCTGAGATTTTTATTTATTTGTCTTTTGTTGTCTCAAGTTAAAAATATTACTACATAACATATTTATACATGTACATTTATGCATGTAACGGTAGCAAATCACATGTGAAATTTAATTTTGGTTGAAATTTACAGGTGGTGAGTATCTGAGCTGGCAACAACGTTTTGCTCTTGATAGATTTTCAATACCTTTGTCATGGCAATAATTAATTATTTAACAATGTTTATGTTAATTAAATAATTATTTTCTTCATCATTTCATAACATTCATTGTTACAAACATGCCTACTTGATTTTTATGTGCTTATGTGTACTTCTTTATTAAGCATTCAGTGTTGTTTGCTTGTAGACAGGCCTTCTTTTTAGTATTTAAAGGGTTATATCACCCATGATCCACACTAGTTTAAAGTGTAAAATAGGTTATGGCCATTCAAGTGGATAGATCAGGAAAAAACTTATCCTTTGTCTTGTGATGTTGTCACTTCTGATATGTATTAAAATAAACTCTTAAAGATACCTAGACAAGTGACGGAAGAGAAGAAGTATTTAAATCTAGAAAGTGATAAGGTTAAGAATGAGATATTCTCAGGTTTCACCATCACTGACAATCTTTTGTCATACAGGAAAATATATGTCTGTTGATATGATGGGAAATGTCACTGGAAGATCAGATGCAATTGGTCCTCAGGAACAGTTTGAGTGTGTCTTTGAAGAAGACAAAGTTGCTTTTGAAACATATAATGGCTGCTATTTGTCTGTCAATGAAGATGGGCAACTCTCTGCAAGCAAAAAAACTGTTGGAGAGAAGGAGACATTCCATGTTCGGACCAGTGTTCCAAAAGTGTAAGTGTTACCATAGTTAGTAGAGGAGACTAACTATGGTGTTACTATTTCATAACCCTTTAACTCCCAAGAGCTGATTCTTGATTCTCCCCTCTAGCTACAACATATTTCCTTGTAAATTAGTTACAAGAATTTTAGATGAAGATTAACAACTTCTAGCTGATAAGATTGAGTATTCTCATTACCTGTTGCTGGATAATGTATAGATATCATTGGAAGAAGTTACATACTAATCACTTGTAGGAGTAAAAGGGTTAAGATATGAAAAATAAAAAATAAATACAGTTTAGTCAGTTTAGTTATTATCCATAATTCGTCATAATCGGGGCAAAGGGGCAAGTGCTTCTGAGGTTTGATGTAATGCTTGCCCCTCAGTTTGACCTCATCATGTTTAGACACTACATGCCTAAGTGAGTTTTGCCTTACATTGCTACTGTATGCCATATCAAAGTTTGATGAGAGGCTGAAAAAAAGATTGTCAGTAACTTGAAATGAGTGACTGTGGATTGATGTTAAAATAATTTGGTATTGCTTCTTCTTTTTCCATAGTAAAGTGTGCACCAGCAGTTTACCTGAGGGAGAAAAAGATCTGCGGAATCATGAAATTAGTTTTGTCAAGAAATTCCAAAGTTTTCAAGACAGGAATTTGCGTCTGAGTGAGGAGGAGAATAGCAGATTGAAAAAAGCAAAAACTGATGGTAAACTTCATGAAGAAATGTTAAACAGGAGAGAAAAGATGAAAGCAGATAGGTATTGTAAATAAATTGACAAAGATCTGAAGTGTCAATCATTGTCAGAGACACATTGATCTAGTGTTACAGTTTGGGGAATACCTTGTAACATGATGCTTGGTATTACAAAGCCTTTTGTACTCATCTTGTGCCCCATTGTTGGGCTGCATCATAACTTTTGCAACATGCATGTAATACTGAACTTGTAAAATTAAAGCTATATAGGAGAGTTGCACTTAAGTAGTTTCATTGAAGCAGTCAAGCAGCTTATCAGCTGCCAGAAATGCTTGGAATCACTCATCTTTCAAACTTTTTTTTCACTTTGCTATTTGAGGTACAAATCTACTTGTATAACCAGGATTTTTGACAATCCTGGCCTAGAGAACTGGCAGAAATCACTTTTTTATGATCTAGTGGAATTAAGTAAATGATATTTTATGTGTAATAGCTGTTTTTATTGATAAGGCTAAGAATTGATGTATTAGTGGTTATGAGTTCCAAAATATTCTTCTCACCACTGTCCACCATAAGTTTAATATTTGGATGTTATTTCCAACAACTTGGTATTGCAATAAGAAACTTTTTCTCAAGATCTTGCAGAAATGCACTTGCCACATACATGGATGATATATTTACAAGCATAGGTCTGGTAAGGTTTTATTGTCTTTGCTATTTAGAGATTCTGGCTTTTTTTCCAGCCCAGTGGGATAGATGGAATACCTGTTTGATTGGTGACCCTGTTCCAAAATAGACTTCTGTTACAAAATTTGCCTCTTCATAGAAGGAATTAGGTGTAGTTAGTTTTAGTATTCCACTAATCAGATCCTCACAAAGAAATAAAATAGAAAAGAGGTCTAACAAATAACATCAAATTTTTTATTGGAATTCCTAGAAAAATAATTTGCTCCTAAAATAGTTTTCAGCATTACGCACAATACAACAATTAATTTCTTACAAAATGTTTGTCTTTGTAAAATTACTTCTAATCTGTTTCTGCAAAGTCTGATATTTACCTCATAATTTTTGAGAAGCAACCCATCCCTCATCTCTCTGTTCATTGTTAAAAGATAGCTATCAACTGCCTAATGTTACATTTATTATGGTTAAGTTATTCTTACAATTACACTTAATTTATGCCATAGGCTAATTGTTTGTTAGAGGTCACCCCCAAGAAGTGAGGATTTGAAATAAATTTTAAATGATGGGAAAGTTTTTCTATGTTCTTCTTGATTTATAAATTACAGGAAACCAAAGGGAACTGTTCATTGTTGGCCAGTCAGTTGCCACAGTCTTAGCAAGGCTCCTTTGGTACACAATTATTATTTGGTGGTAACAATGTACCAAGAACCCCCAGTTTCTTTTCTGAACTCTCTTTCTTTTCAACTGTGGATCGCTGATGGCTTTTCACCCGTTTCTCTTTCGTTGATTAAGTGCTAATTTTACTTATGCGGTGGTACCTGCAATTACTCTCATTACAAAACTATTAGATCATTAAAACATTTGTTACACATACTATATGTCCAACCTTCCTTTGCATTATTTTCTTATGTTATAAATGCTGAAATTTGGGTGTTAAATTGTAAATAAACTTAATACAAAAATTTAAAGTTATGAAGTAGTGGTGATAAAAATGTAAAATTGTCAGGTCATCACTATCCATTACTATTAATTTCTCTTTTATTCCACAGTCTCACATCAGTGAGAACTAGATGGCCAATGTCTTTTAGTTAGGTCCCAAACTTTCGCTACGTAGGTGTTGAAGCACCTTAGACCCTTAACCTTTTCTTGACGCGAAACCAATTCGTTTTGATGCATCTTACTACTTTGTACAGTAAATGCTTTGGCTCGACTACACCATCCATAATTACTCTTCGTCATGCTATATCTTACAGTCCTCCCTTTCTTCTGAATATTTGGTCTCGACTGAAAGTTTTTGTGGTTCAAACTGTCACACCCTTGTAAAACTATCGTTAACAAAGTCTGTTATTTTCTGCACCAGTAATTCACAAATTTCTAATGCGTCTTGTGCTTGATCGCTCGTAAAAGCTTCCGCAGGGATCGTGTCGCCACGATGAAAATGAGGATATCTAGTTTGCTCGTAATAATTCTTGAGCTTGGCAGCCAGGAGGGCAATATCAGCGGGTGATCCATCTAACTCAGTAATCTCATAGGCAAGATTCAGTACATCGTGTGTTTCTAGTTGTTTCTCAGATATGCCGCAAGCTGCATACAAGGCGCCTTTGAAAACTTTCTCTGTTGCTTGTTGACATAAAAAGCAAACCAACGCAGGGAATTTTGGTTGTTCACTTTCTAGATGTTTTGCTGCGTTTAGGTCTTCTTTGGCTTGTTTCATCCATCGCTTGGCCTCGTTCTTCTGAGGGTTGGTGGACCTCTTCGAATAAGGAGTTCCTTGATGATTTTGTCGTTTAAACGTGTCATAAGTTTGCCTTTCTTGCCGAGCTCGCTGGTTCCACTGGTTGAAGAAATCATGAAAGCTGCTGGCTCCATCTTGTGTTCCCTTTTCCTTAGCATCTCGCAGATTGTCTCTCCAATTAGAAGGAAATAGCTTTTCCATTCTCTCTATTTCGTTAAGCAGGAATTGCATCACATCATTAGCAATGTCAGAGCCTATATTT